GTCATAAATAGCGCTAAGTAATCGAACATTAGCAAAAATTTTAATGTCGTTAATCAGTATTTAAAACTTAAATCAATAACCATTACCTTGAAAATAAGTTTACGGCATTCCGTAATTAAGTTAAACAAACTTTAGAAAAATAATCTCATGCGGTTCCGATGTAAATAGCTTTATGAAATGAATGTGATTAACGCTCCTCAATGATCTTAAAAATTGATGTAATGTCAATCACAGAAATAATTAACCTATCAGAAAGTATTTGTAAAGAAAAGCAAAAAACAAACAAACAAACAAACAAACATTTTTCGAAGAGCAGCCCAGTAACCGCCTACTGTTACACAAAATACAGCTATAAGCCATATAATTAACATGGATATATCCCATCGAGAATTCAACGGTCTATAGAACTTCAGTAATAATTCTCTGCCACTTCCATCACTGCTCAGTTGCTGAAATATACTATATTTCGGTATCATTAAGAGATCTGTTTGCATCAAAAAAGGAATATTACAAGAACATATTGAAAAAAAAAGAGGATAAACCTGGCTCTAATCGTTTCAATTTTTATTACCTACCCTATCTTACAGTATGTCTTATCCAAAATCTCTTTGTATGACTAATTTAGTCTTTCATCAAAAACATTAGGAAATTTAATTTGAAACTGGTACATCATTGCTGCCATATTTTAGTAGGAGCAATTACACTGACTTCAGCTGTCAGTACGGTTGTCCTTGTCATATGTTGTTCGAAAGTTAATTCCTAAACCATAAATAACATCAGAACTATGGGAACAAAAATACAAATAGCATTACCAGCATTTCGTTGAAGAATGTAGCAGTGTACATGAAAAATGCCGGCAATTTGGTGGACTGATTGAAATCCGGATCGTAAAATTCCGAAAACTGAAAAATGAGTTTCCTTTTAAAAGGACTATAAGAACTGTCAAGTATGTATACCAAAAAAAATACAAATTCTCTAAGACAATTTTTTTTTTTCTGCATTCCAAAGTATGGGTATTTACCAAATAATCTGCCCATTTGGTAACATATTTACGACCCTTATCAATGAGAATAATGGCAGCACTAGCATTTCTTGAAGCCAACTGGTCTACCTTAAACATAGAAACACATAAAATTAATTAAAACATGCATCACTACATTATCAAAATCAACATGACCAACAAAAGTCTTGAAGAAATCTTAAAGACTTTCAATAAAATAACCACTGTTTTGCTGCATCCATTGTACAGAGCTCATAATATCAACTGTTTAATTATTTCAATTATCCTGATCTTCAACTTTTTACAGCCAACACCTGAATAATGGCTTCTCGGCAAAAGCCTTCAACAATATCACCTAACAATGTTACATGTAAAAAATACAATCTTGTTGGAGATATGTTTAAAACTATAAACAGAGAACTAATGAAATCCTTTAACTGAAGAATAGCTAACACTGATTACAGCTTATATAAATATGCTAATAGAATTAAAATTAAAGATGCACTTACTTCATATTGTAAAGCTCTCTTAAAGCTCGCATTCTTCATGACAAACGGAATCGCACAACTGCCATCTTCGAGTTTCAGACGATAATTCAGTGCTACTACTTTCTTCTCTAATAAAACTGGTTTACCTTTGTTGCAAACATTAGTGTTGTTAATGATTCCACCCCACCAATCAAGTCGTAATATCTCCTGAAATAAATTCAAGAATCTTACAACATTCTCATTTACTACGGTATGAACAGATAACTGATACACAAAACTAAAAGACCAATTTATCACTTTTTCAAGTACTCTGCTACGTTCACAAACGTACCTAATGCATGAATCAAACACACACACACAAGGAAAAGGAACAAAAACAACATGAAGAAAACAATTTTAAAAGTTCGTTGCAGAAAATGCTAACAGCATTTTTAACGTCTTTTGCTATCTGCTGTACTCGCCATTGCTCATAATTAACACAGAACGTCTGCTCTTTTTGCGTAATTTCATTCTTGACAAACATAAAAGCATAACTTGAATCGTAATATCCACGTGTTTCCTCAAAATAATCAATTATAGAATTTGCTAATTGCAGTGATCCAAAAATTTTTACCAACTTTTTCAGCTAAATGATGACTCGATTTCTCTCTTCTTTTTCCAAAAACGAATACCAACTATCTTGTTAAATAAAAAATTTAAGAAAAATGGAATGAGTTCGAACAAAAGATGTTTCATTCCTTACTGTTGCAATATATTCCATAATAAGTTTGTGAAATTGCTGCTTACTAATTTTTCTTTTTTTTTAGTTGAAGCAATTCAAAGATAAATTTGATCATTGCAAATGTTTTAAATTTAGATTCAAAAGCTACCACTTATAATTTAAACTATAATTACAGTAAATGAATTAATGTATTTGAAGAAAATGTGGTGAAAAAGTAGAAAGGAAAAATTACAAATTGCTTGTACAATTTTATTCATTTCCCAGAAAATTAATCTTAAGTTGAGACGAAAAAAAATGGAAAAAATATATAGATAAATTATAATATCAAAGAAAATGGAAGGAAATGAATGATATATGCAAAATATTTTTTTTTTTTTTTGTTTTTTTAAAGGAAATCAGAAAAAATGTAAAAAGAAGGAAAAACTTACAACTATACCATATCCACAAATAATTATAAAAATAATATTGCCAATAACGATATGCTGCCGCATCATTCAATCAATTAATACAATAATGATTTGAATCGATATGTAAGAGATAGATGGAATTATTGATGTTGCACCGAATTATCTCTAAAATATCAATTTATTTTTTATAAATTAAAAAAAAAAAAAAAGATGGAAAAACGAAAAAAAGGAAGTTGAAATATTGTTTGAATAGCAAGGATAAGATACGGATCCAAAAAAAGAGACAGAGAGAAGAAAAAGGAGAGGTAAAGAGAGAGAAAAAATGTATGCTGAAAAAAAAAATAGGTGGATAAATTTAAATGCGGATAAATATTGTCGTTTAATGTTTACAAACAATTTAAATTTTAAATATTAATTGTATTACTGACAGTAACGACATCGATATTTACTTTTCTCTCAAATAAATGTGAATATTATGACTGTGAAATATGAATGTGACATTCAGAAGGGAATAATTCTGATAGTTTTTGAAATTAAAAAATGTACGTAACACTTACAGATACTACTACTATCCATCGATAACTGAGCATTACTTGCCAAACATATAGGAGAAAAAAAACTGAAATGAAAGTGGAATATGATGTATTATGCAATACGTTATAAATATATTCATACGTAAACCGCACGGAAAATAATCAAATTACGTAACACGTTTGAAACACGTATGAAATAATAAATGAATATAATGAAATACGTGTAGAAAATAATATATTTATGATATAATAAGTGTATCTGAAAACAATGTATTCGTAAATAGCATTCAATGAAATGAAATATGTAAAAATAATAAAATACATGAATTAGTGAATATAATACCATATAAATTCGCAAATTATTATTTGAAATAGAGTATATATGCGGATAGCTGTATCTATCGTGAAAAATTACGTATAAATTACTCACACAAATAATCTTAAGTAAGCTTCTGATACTTATGCAAAAGTCTTAGAAATGAATCGATATGAGAAATTTAATTAAAAGTATTTCCGTCATCTTTTCGTACAATTTTCAAATTGATATTTATTATAATTAATTAAGACTCATTCGTCATTTACATTAATAGCACCTCGTTTAATTCCCATCCTACTTTACACTAACATGTTTAGTTCATATTGACTACAACAATTCACTGTTATGACTACAACTAATGTCACCCATATTAATCTCGAAATTGTCATAATTGGTGAACACGTCGCGACTTCCATATTATCATAATATTAATTTGCTAATATGTATCACATAATAAAATATTCATTTATTTTATATATGAATGTGTGCTATGTTGACAGATCTCTCTTATCTTGCACAATTAGCACCTTATAATTCATATCTGGATTACAGTATGGTTGAATAATCCTTGAAACGTACATATTTATTAAAGATCGCAAATTATTAAAAATTCGCAAATTGTTGTAAATTAGAAATTCTAAATTTCAGTAAGAGAACAGTCAAAAACAGATTTGCTGATAGTTACATCTTATTATTCGTTGCATAAGAAACAAATAAGACGCAAGCTTTCAATAGGATCACGTTTGCATAGCGGTATCGAATTTATAATGCATCACTTGTCACAGACATGATGCTTATGGAAAAAAACAATAAAAACATATCAGCATCTTGAAAAAAAAAACGCCAAAAAATTTTTCCACTCTTTTTTGAATGTTTCCAGTGTATTTCCAAATACCTATGTAATAATTTTCTCCAATCATTCTGTAAACAACAACAGCAAGATCTAACAAAAAGAAAAAAAAAATACCATAGGCCTTTTCTTTATTCAACAAATGAAAAGCAGCATAACAGAAACAAAAGAAAAACAAACCGCATTAAAGTAGCCCCCACAAAGATGTCGTCAGTAACAGTCAATATGCTAAAAAAGTAATCCCCCAAAAAACTGAATTATAAAATTTCTTGAAATTCATGTAAAATACATTGGCTTTTAAATTTATGTACTTCAACAAAAATATAAAAAATAAAAATGCCTAATGAAACTGAAGCTGAAGAATGATTTCCACTATATTTCGGGAACACAAAGCAATCAGAATAAAGACAGTTAAGTTTAGGAAAATTCCACAAGTTTTATTTGTTCTACTTCCAAATCCGAAATCCACCAAAAAAAGAAAAAAAAAGAAAATATAAAACTGAAGGATGAGCAACTTCAGGGTACAACAATGACGCAGCAAAAAAAGACTAACATTCTGCAACATCAAATCAGAACAAATCTGGTTTCATAACAGTAATTGTTGAAAAGCGACAAAGGAACACAGGAACAAAGAAAAAAGAAAAAGGGAAAAAAAAAATAATCATACTTATTTTTAAATAGTGAATTACATTTTATCCAAGAAATTATCCAAGCCAGGTATTTGTTCTTTCAAACCCTTACGCTTACGAATTTCGGCTACAATTTGAGCCGGCTTTGTGTTCGGCTCCAATGGATTACCCTGCAGTACCTGCCAGTGATCAAAAACACATTGCGGGAATGCTTGGCCGCCCGTATTAGAACGAAGATCAGCCGTAAAGCCTGAAATCTTGTGCTTTATTCAACCTCACATGAAACAACCGAATTTCTAGACTTACGACCAGACAGGTACTGATCGTTTTGCTACCGTTACTCAAAGTAACTTTACCAAAAATCCAATTCAAGTCACCTGCGTCTTCTTTACCATCCGATTAACTAATCTCGACATTAATTCCTAAAACTTAAAAATAAATAGATATTGGACGAACCGAAAGACTCATTGACAGGTAAATACGCCTTAACAACGAACATTGGGGTACCAGCTACTTGTGATTCTTCAAATACATGTCCACGACGCCGATTCAAAACTCCATAAATACCTAAAGTTGTCAGAATTTTAACAACGTCACTAAAAAAAAAACATTAAAGGTTTTTCTCGTATCATGTAATAAGAAAATATAAAGTACATTCGTAATGATATCAGAGTAATGCAAAACAAAAAAACAAAAAAAAAAAAATAGAAAAACAAGCAACCTCCTACAGCATTTTCTGGACACTGAATTTCTACAAGATAAACAGGCTCCAGCAAACGTGGCTGAGCGGTTAATACAGATGCATAAAAAACACGACGAGCTGTTGGAATTATCTGGCCACCACCCCTGTGAATTGCATCTGCATGAAGCGTTACATCATGTATATTGATGCGAACACCTAAAATGTACACAATCATCGAAAATTCCCAAAGAAATTAAAATATTTCGAAAACTTCATATTTGCAAATGACAAAATGGAAGACTATATAAATACTAACCTCGCATATTCTCGTCACAAAGGACACCCTCTTTTGTAGCCCATTGGAATCCAGCAACAACTGAATCCTTAATTTCATTTAGGTATTGCACACCTTTCGTAACATCAACCAAAATATTTGCACCGGTACCATCAGGACCGAAACACCAAATTTTCCTTGCTTCAGTGACATCATAATCATACTTCTCAGCCAAAATTTTAGCTCGGGCCTAGAAAAATATAAAAATTAGTACTGTTGAAAAGACTGAACATCAAGTTAATTAAAGTACAAAATGCCAAAACACAAAGGTCTGAAATCATCATGCTTTTTATTTGAATTATATACCTCAGAACATTTATAAGCCAAAATATATTTTACCTTCATTTCATCACGGGCATTAATTTCACCCTTGTCGATATCATCCGCGAGTCCATCAGGCATTGGCAGAGCCTTGGCGAATAGACGATTATGTTTGTTAGGCGATTTTGAAAGGCACAGTTGGTCTGATTCTTCGGTCACAGTCTCACGATATGAAACAACTGGATCAGACTTTTTAATTGGGATACAGGCGTGATCCTCTTCTAAATCTTTCAAGCAAATTTCCAAATGGAGTTCTCCAGCACCAGCAATGATATGCTCTCCTGATTCCTCGAATATGCACTGAACCATAGGATCAGATTTCGCTAAACGTTTCAGACCTTCGACCTGCAATTTGAAAATACTGAAAAAAAATCATCAGAAAAGAAATTAGCAAAAGTATTTCCCTGAATCAAAGAAGACGGTTTGCATCCAATTTTGAAAAAAAAAAAAAAAAAAAAACTATGCGGATATTTTCAGAAATCTAACACAATAATTACCAGTTTCGGTAAATCGCCAGCATTTTTTGGTTCTACAGCAACACGTACAACCGGTGATACCGAAAATTTCATAACACGTAGATTATGGGCATCTTTATATGTTGTTATTGTACCACCTTTGACAAGATACTGGTCAACGCCTACAAGACCGGCTATATTACCAGATGGAATATCTTCGATTGGTTCCACATAACGACCCATCATCAGAATTGTACGCTGAATTGTTTTCTCGTATAAATCTTCCTTCTTTCCGGGTACAAAATTTGGTCCCTGGATTCTTGCTTTCATTCCAGTTGCAACCTGAAGTTCGAAAAGTATTTCAGTTATCTTGCATATTCTGGAAAAAGATGAGAAATTTTTTGAAATATAATGAATTCCAAAAGTCCTAAAAAAAAATGATTCTTATATCATCATCGACTTTGTGAAATATACATACTTTTCGCGCTGTAGCTTAATATTTAAAAAAAAATATTATCCTCTGATTTACCTTGCCAGAAAATACACGTCCGAAAGCATAAAAACGTCCTTTGTCCGATGTCGGTACCATCTTTGAAACGTACATCATCAATGGACCATTAGGGTCACAATTCCTTATCGCAATAGCAGCTTCGTCGTCATGTGGCCCCTCGTACAACATTTCCATTCGATATTTTTGGGCAGTAACAGGTGATGGTAAATGCATGCAAATCATTTGAAGCATTGTATCACCAGCTGGCAACCATTTACGCATCATAACCTGCAAAACAAGCAATCAATTTGCTTCAAAGTTATCACTAAATAACCATCTTAGACTTGCGCATAATCAACCCTAACGACAAGTTATTTAAAGACAAGTTGGTCCGCAATCCTAACAATAACAGTGCTCTACGTGGTCAAGACTGGTTTACACATCAACGATGCTTAAATTGTAATTTAAATTCCGAATTTAATAATAACCTTCATCAGCGGCTTCCCTTCTAGATTCCTCTCATCATTAGAAAGCTTGATATCAAGTTTTTCAATTAGTTTTGCTGTTTCGTCCTTTTTGACGTTCATTACGGCATCAAACACTTTGAAGATCGGATCAAGTACGAACTGGACAAAACCACGCTTACTATCAGCATCTTGTGTTGATGTCCACTTTTTGGTCTTCATGTTAAAGAAACGATCACCCCAAAGATTACGCATAAGTTTTTCCACCTAAAACTTCAATTATAAACACGTACATCTGGCAGACTTTTTTTTTTCTAATGAGTCACATTCAATTATATCTTACATAAATTAGTTCAGTTTAAACAATAAAATCTTACATACCTGAACTCCAAATTTCTCCGCATAGAATTCAGCGAACTGCTTTAATGTGAAAGCCCAACCATGTAAACCTGAACCAAAACCAACGTTACCAACAGCTGGATCAACCATGATTGGCCCCATTGGTCCATCATCATCACCATATGTAGCAATAATAACATTAATATTTTCCACGATGCGCTGAAATGTTTGGTAGAGCTCCTCAGCACCAAGTTGCAATTCCAGCAAAGCACGGTCCATCTTGTTCATAAACAGAACGGGCTTGATACGTTCAGCTATAGCCTGACGTAAAACTGTCTCAGTTTGCACACAGACACCTGAATCAATGTAACTTTATTTTTCCAGAATATCGCCATCAAATAGACAACCTTTTGATATAAAAGTATATTTTGGCGACTTTAGCACTAATATTAATTTTAGGATGAAAATAGCAATACCATTTGACAAAATGCACTCATACTTCTAAAACTTATAGCGAAAATGTCACTTCAAAAAGCCAGATAAATAAACTGAGTTTCTCTAAGTATAAAGCAAAGTTATTTGTGTAAACGAAATTTGCATAAAGTACCTAAAGCATCCAAGTTTTGACAGATGTTTCATGACAGAAAAATCTGAGAACTCAAATGTGTTACCAGAAACCAAATCATGTTTTTATTTAGCGTTTCTCATAAAACACTTGGTAATATTAGGAATTATATAACCAAGCAAATAAACGCACTTCGGCCAATTATTTAAAAGAATTTTCACATTGGTTAACTTACCGGAAACGCAATCGACAACAACCAAGGCTCCATCGGTAACACGCAATGCAGCAGTTACCTGAAATGACAAATAGGAACGATTAAAGCAACAAAACTTCAAATCATAATCATGCTGTTCATAAGTTACACTCACTCTTGAGAGAACCAAAAATATTAAGCTGAAAGAATACTTCCTAAGCATGAATGCAAAATTGGCAGATTGAAGCAAACAAAATTTACTTCACTAGAAAAGTCAACGTGGCCTGGTGAATCGATCAGGTTGATCAAAAAACCTGGAAGCTTCTTTTGCTCGCCATTGATGGTATTGACTTCTACTTGACTTTCGCCTTTGATGAAAGCAAGATCTTTTGCCTCCAACTCGAAGAAAAGAGAAATTGCACTGAAACATTCTTACAGTCACATTACCTATCCAAATTAAAGTAAGACTGTAGAATAATTGACACATTTTGCTTTCAATTAAGAATCAAATTAAAAGTAATAGAAGTCAACAACGACCCAATAAATTTATCGAAAAAACAAATTAAGTAAAATTTACGTTGACTTAATCGTAATGCAGCGCTCTTGCTCATCCTTACGTGTGTCAGTAAAACGTGTTTCGCCCGCTTTTGCTCCGGCTATAATACCCGCTTTCGATACCAAAGAATCGGTTAACGTTGATTTACCTTTAAAATAATGCTTCGGTTGTTATATTAAAATTTACTTATAATTTATCTAAATAATCTCACTTCGCAACTATTATCAAATTACAGGAAAACAATTTATAAGTGCAACAGATTATAAGTGACAGCAAAATATCTTTCCACTTTTTTTTTTCAAACTGAATAGCAAATTCGTTCAGAATGATGTTATCTTTTGAATATTTCCTGAATTGTTTTGAATTATTTTAAAGTCAATATAAAGATTTCCCGATTCAAATTTTCAAACCACCTGATGCTTTCTTGAAAAATAACGCTTTAATATAACCAGCGTGTACAAGATGGCCACGGCCAACATAAAAAATAACAAACCATGGTCGACGTGAGCAATAACGGACATATTACGAATATTTTTTTTGTGGTCCATTATGCCACGGATTTCTTCGATCGTAAAATTCACCTGAATCATCATGAAAATCAGTTTTTACTTGAAATTAAAAATCAGTTTTTACTTGAAACAATTTAGCTTGAAATTAAACAACTTGAAATTAAACAATTTAGCCTATTTTCTCAAAGTGATGTTTAATAATTCAATCGTGATTAGTTTACTGTAACAAGAAATCCCATCACTACTGCTTGACTTTCAGACAGTTTTTCACGTAATATCTCTGACAAGGAATTATTATAGTCAAGGACAACTGAATGCAATTCTTTTGACGTGGTTTCGCTAATAAATTTGACCGCTTTCGTGAAGCATGTTGTATAGAAAACAGGACGTAACCCCATCTCTGGAGAACGTGAGGTATGCGCATATGCATGTTGTGCAGTAATGGTAATTTATATATATACAGCCTTAACGATGGCCTTAGTGCTTCTTACATATAAACCTTCACCACTAAAATTTCCAAGTAATTTCAGTAGTTACTCAACAGCATTTTGCGAATTCTACATTTTTATAACTTAGATCCCATTCCAAACTTTATTCAGTTCTTACCAAAACATTTTTTCCCCAAACTTGAAATAAAAAGGATTAAAGGAGATGCTTGTGATGATGATAAGACCGGAACTCACCTTCTAGCAAATCATTAGGGATTAAAAATTCCTCAAATTGCCACCCATACTTCGAAATTTTAAAAAAATGCTGGAAAAAACAGGAAAAAGGAAGAGGTAGGAGCTGAAGTTTGGATCCAGGGATGTCAGATAATAGAAAACACAGGAAAACAAAGAAAAAGCCTAATAATATACCAAAAATTATGATAAGAAAGACAAAACAGATTTAAAACAAACTTATTAAAAAACGAAAATGCAGAAAAAAAAGGATTCAGACTGAAAAAAAAAATGCTACGAAAAACAATGGATTCTGAAAAGCCAGCATTAGAAGAATATGGAAATAGTGGAGAATTCGACGTGAAAAAAAAAATCAAATGAAATATTGAAAATGTTAAGAGAAATTTATAAAAAGAATATATGTATAGGAACTAGAAAACGGATCCGGAAAACCGGAATCAATGACTTACCATGATGAACAGATGCTTCCGCTTGCGTAATACACAACCACAACCACTCAGCAACAGATGCAAACAACAACCAAGCCAATACCAAATGTATGCAAGGAAGGAGTTATACCGTAGTACAGGGGAGCAGTTTCTGCTTGTTATAAGAATGTTTAATCATCTCATTTGGATTACGGTAGCACTTCGGGTTTAATTCAACTATTACAACTAAATATTCTCTGGAAAGCTTTACTCTCAAGGAATTCTTTTTTTGGTCCTGGGAGGAAAATTTGCATATTGGATGCCAAGGAGGGCTTTTCAAAAATTTCCCGCCAACTAGAGCGAACGGATAGAGGTTGGCGGGTGATTTTGGTGCGTGTGGCCAGGGGTCTCGTATTTCACGTATTTCGCGTGTTCTCACTTGTAGTATATGATGTGATTAAAGATGTGATCATTTTGATAAACTTGATAGTTATAATTTAGTGGCATCATTCACCAACACAGTCTATAGTGAGACTATTATAATAAAAAAAAGTGTGAAATGACGTGAAGTTTTATTTGTTTAATTTATTTAATTAATTAGTTTCTATTTACCAGTAAATAGAAACAGTAACTATTATATGTCACTCTTTTGAGGTGTACTGATATATTGCTGATGTCGGACGATGGTCATTTGACGTTGCCGAAAACACCATCAGATACTGATAGTAACAGTAACAGTAACAGCGGCTCGCTGTTCAGTCGCTGTTATCCAGACGAATTGTCGTCATCGAACAGCAGTGGATCAAAGGAAAATACACCATCGTTATCGAATAATGAAAATTCATCAAGTCCAAAATTACTTTCACATAGAGCGGAACCGGTTCCAACTGTACGACAGCGACTTCTGAAAAACTTATTTTCTGAAGGTATTAAATGTCAGCCGAAAATCACACATAATGATTCAATTGATTTGGCCACTGCTGAAGTTAGTTTTGATTTTAAGTTTAATTTGAAATAAAAATATAAATATACTTTACAGTGATATATTCAGTGGGCAGTTTTGTTGAGTGCTTGTTTCAGTTCTGTTTACGGAAAGACTACTATAAACGCAAAAAATAAAAACAGTGACGCATTACCTGGATACCCCATTGACTGTTAATTTCTAAAATGCTTTAATATGGTGTGAAGGAAAATACTGAAACTAATTGATAAAAAGAACATAATAAAACTCATTGGGAGAGATTGGGAACTTCTATCAGTGATTAGGTCTCATTATTAGAAAAATAGATTTAAGAATTAACTGGTGTGTTTTCAGGAAAAATCGAATTCGGACGATGAGTGGTTTATACAGAGAATAAATCCAAAAAGCAAAACCCACTTTATTGATTGGTATGTTTTTTTAGTTTACAACCATCACTTGCCCAAAATTCCGATTTTTTAATAACTATTTTTTCTTTTAGGAGTGGAAAATGTGGAAACTATTTATCACTAGGTAAGCTTTTTCTAATTTTACAGAGAAATATATTCCTTAATTTTTATTAACAACAAAAAAAAATCAGTGATCCATGTTTTAATGTTACTTTTCGGGAATTTTACGTCATTTTGTGCTATAGGTACTACACATGCAGATGTACAAAAGTTTTTGATGAAGCAGTTGGTAGAATTACGACGACGTGGCCAACAGAAGCGTAGGGCATTGTATAATGCTGATAACGGCATTGTGTTGGACAGATCGGTGATGTGTTATTTTATATTTTTAATTTCATTTTGTTGCTGCATCAATTTTTCAAAGATTTAAGGTACTGAGATAGATAAATGTGGGTTGCGCGATAGTAGTTGATGATGGCTATCATTTAAATAATTTTTTAATCCTTGCATGCTTTTGTTTAGGGTGTATGCAAACGTACTAATGAAGAAAGGAAAGCGTCGGAATGGAATTTTAGCGAGCAATCGCAAAAGAATAAGGAAGTAGTGAAGGAGAAGGTTGAAAAGCTCAAGTGTGATTTGATAGAACACGAAGCAGCTGAATCATATAATGATGATAATGAGACAGTCAGTGATAAATGGAGAGAAATAAATGGAGAGAAAACAAATATCGAAGATAAATATAATAAAGTTGAGGAAGAAGTTGCAAAAGAAAATGATAACAGGAATGTAAGTGGAGACTGTGATAATAAATTTTCGCAAAGGCTTTTGTATGTCTTTATTTTTTAGCTTGATAAGTCTGGTATTATTGAAATATCTTGAATTTTGTAAAGTATAGTCATTCAGATTTTGATAACTCAATTTTTCTCATCAACTTTTAGGGAAACACATCCGATGAAGACTGGCGAAAGGATTGGTTACAGTCCGGAATGAAAACTTACAAAAATCTAACGAAACTTAAAAATCATGCGAGGTTCGTCACAATCCATGATAACATTAAAATGTTTTTGAGAAAAACATGCTGTCTGTGTTATTTTGAGATTTCTCATTATTCTTCTGCGTTATCAAGTCGACAAATTGACAAATGTTCTCAAAATTGAAGAAGAAAGAAATCCTTTGACAACTACCTCAGTTATCACTTTATGATGTTGCACAAATTTTTAGTAGATTCCTTCCACATTTCAGTGTGCATATTTTTGCAAGATCGTATTATATATTATATATATCTGTAATTAATACTTTACTCAGCGAAACAACAATCACAGTAAAAAGTTAGGACCGCAGTATTAGTGTGATAATCTTTGAATCATTTGCAGAAAACTATAAAAAGTATTTATAGTTTTAAATTGAAACTATATAATTTTAGTTATTTATCAGACAACGAAACGGATTCGTCTATTCTATCGGGTGAAACAACAGGTTGGTGCATTTATATGTACTAGTAGTGCAATACTTCATGAATTTGTTTTGTAAACTCAATATCTGTTTATGATTTTCTCAACTACAGCAGTAATTTACGATCCTTGAGACATGGAATTGTAAAATTTCACAAATAAAAATTAGTTCTGATACAATTCTTTTTTTTTTTTTTTTATTTTGCAAAAATAAATATAAAACTAGTTCAAATAATAGATTCGGAAGAAGGAAACAGAAGTTCACCAAGTCTTGTTGATGAACTGCTGAGTGATATTGCTGCAAATTGCTCTGGTATTTTCGACTATCCTGAAGACAACAGCCCCGAAGAGTATAATAAGTTCGTTGAAAAGTGTTATTTACGATTTGATTTGAATTCATATTGGTTTATTATGGTCTGCTTTACAACAATGTTTTATAAATTCAAGCTAACTTAGGATTTCGATAGATGGCAATGGTGGTGACGACAGGGATGACGAAGATGAAGGAGAATTAATAAGACAATATAGGAAGCCTAGAAAACGTCGCTTGGTATTCTCATCAGATGAGAGCGATGAAGATGAAGAAGGCAAATGTGGTGGAAGTGCTTTGAAGTCAGTAAAAAATGTTCAGGATCTTGAAGCTGCAAATGGAGAACGTACTGAAGCTTGCTGTACCTCAGATCACAAGAAGGAACATAGTTGTGATAATATTAATGCTGTACTAAACGAAAGTGATAACTTCGAAGTTAATGACAAGGACAATTTTCTATTTGCTGACAAAAGTAATGGTCATAAGAGAGGTGTTACTTGGCCGATTGATAAAACAATGGATGAGGTGGTTAAATCTGTTTTCTCTGGATTTTGGGTTTTACTAATGAAGCAACATCATTATGTAGGTAGCTTGGCCATATGATTAAAGTGGGCACATTTTAGACCTCTGCAAAAGATGTATGATACTTTTAATCGTTAAACTTGTACGAGTGTCAATATTACTGCAGCATTCATATAAAAGTAGTGATTAAAAACCATCACTTTAAGGACTGGCTGACCGAAAATTTTCACTTTATGAGTTGATTTACGAATATAAAAATGAGACATTTTTAGGATCAGCGAATTGAAAGGATGGAGGGAACAGATTCCAGCGATGATGAACTGGAAGTATTTCATAAATTGCAGATTGCACAAGGACGGAAGAAGAGGTTTATAATTTCAGTGTTTATAGTGTTTTGATTCTTTTTTTTCTTGTATATGAAAACTAGATAGAATGAAGTGAATAGACAATCCATTCAGATCCGAATACATCGAGGAAGAGGCTTCATTATCAGGAGATGACGTGGGAAGTGATGAAAATGATGATGAAGATCAGCTAAATGTTTATGAGGCAGAGGAAGGAGATAATGATGAACTTCCAGACGATGAAACTATCAGAGAACAGCTTAATAAACAGTGGTTAAAACAGCAGCAAGTAAGTTTCTGTTTCATGCTATCGTCGTGTTTTTTGCAATGAAGTTAGTTTTTTAACGATTTTCTGCTTTTTATAAATTCTATCAGGCGTTCACTTTAAATTGATTGTGTCAATATGGAAATCAAGATGTTTTTTAGGATGAGGAGGATAGGAAATTATTGTACTGGAAAGATCAACTTCTTGTTGATGGCGAACTCGCGGATGAAACAGACCGCACTTTCCGCTTCAAATTACGTCTAGAAAAAAGTGAGGATGCAGATAAAGAAATTGAAGAAGTAACTATTGACACAGAAAATATTGAAGTCAATGAGGATGAATTATGTAAGAGACGTCGGGAGATATCGAAATGGAAAATAAAAGAAGGGGTAATCATTTACTGATCTACTTTTTAACTTAATAAGTGTACTGGCTAACCTCATTTTTGCATCTCAAAAATCATATTTAGGAAACATTCATTGCGAAATTTATCTTTTCTTTCGTATTCTAAGTCAGTTTTCCTGTTTCCAGGAAGCTAAATTACATGGTGAAAGCTCTTCAATAAAGGGAACAAATTCATTGTTGAAAGCTGCTTCAAAAGTTATTGAAAAGGGAAGTAAGTATTCAAATTTTTATTTTATGATTCTTGGACTGAAAAGTTTCAGTTTTTTAACACCCCAGTAAGATGATATCGCATGTTGGCACATTTGTGCATGATTTCTTTTGGATATAGCATTTGCATTCGATCACTTCTACTGTCTTATCTGTCTAATGGTCGCTTTCTTTCCCAGCATTTTAATGCATTGTCTTTCAAATAGCTAGCTATTAACATGAATTGGTTACTGCATTTACGTACAATTGCAGGTTTGGATGGGAACAGTCAGTCGTACAGCAGAGTAGATGATTCACTTTGTAAAAATTCTCTTATGCATCACCGCAGATCCTTATCTCAGGTGCTGAATCAGACTAAGATCACGTCATATACGAAATCTGCAGGCCTTGTTAGTGCAAATGGACATATCGAGGTTTCATTATTCAAATTTGGTTTTCTTGAGTAATTCAGCCATGGATTTTCTATGTGTTACTGTAGAGTTTGACATAATTTGAGAGACAATATTCATAGTTTTAGAAGCAAAAAGATACAAGACATTCCACTCAAGACGTTGTTGCCAAGTCAAGAAGTATGAAGGTTCGCCGATGTTCACGTAAACTACCACAATGACCCCCTACTTTGTTTAGCAAACTAGAGATTCCCAGTGTAAATTTTGTTGAACGTTCTTTGTTTCCTTCAAGCCGCTTAAAGCTTGAATTTATTGTACACTTTCCCTGTAATGTAATTTAACTACACTAGAATAGGTAACAGTATCGAGAGGTCAGACCACACAGAAAATAACAGTACTCAAATTGCCGTTGATCAAATGGTGGAAGTGTCACATTCCTCCCGACTCAGAGGTGTCCGAAATATATTCCCTGTGGGCGTTTCATTGACCAGTAGCATTGACCGTGACGAGCTAGTAAATCAATCCAGTTGAAAGTTTTGCTTACAACTTTGTCAAGTTACAAAGGACACTATAAATATATATATGAATTCTTCATCCTACCGACCAGAAAGATGTACGGGAGAAATAATAGGGAGTGGTGTAACCGGTTTCTTATCCAGTATATCAGTCTGTTATTTTCGGTTGTAACATTTTTTCCCGCTCTGGGGATATCCTATTACGTGATATCCTCCATTTTCTTGTGCATACGTCCCGTTATAACTGTTTCATAAATAACTATCACTGGATTGAAAAATGTTGTAATGAAGCTAGTTCAGTTCGCTTCAAAAATCCGCGTTCTACCTACTGATGATGACATAAATAAAGAACTCTTATTGTATAATTTTCCATCTCATCATCACGTAATATGAAACAACGAAGCAACAGTACTTTACTTAAATCCAAAAGTGACATATAAAACAAAATATTCTGAGAAGGACTTCTCACTTCAATAACAAACAAAATGTTCCAAAACTTTTGAATAACCTTCGCCATCACCCAACCCCAATGAATTCAATTTATTCATTTTCTTCAGATCTGATTTTTGCATGTCCATTAGTTAATTTGATATTAAGTTGTTGTGCCCGTTCCACAATACTTTTTCGTTTCTTTGATGATACGCCATGCGCCACCTCACCAGCGAATCTCTTATTTTGCATCAACAACATATCCAAATCCTTAATGTTAACAGTGTTAGTAGTGATATATGCCTTGGCACGAGATTTAACTGAGAAATTTCACAATTTCCAACCAACCTATGCAAACCTTATAATGACATATGCTCTATTATTACTACTGCCATAGACAGACAGCATTCGTACTTCCAGGAAAACCAAAAAATTATAGCACATTGCAAAGCAAACCAACCTTAACATTATGTATCAATACTTTTCTAAATCCGTTTGGCAGCATATGCCGTGTCGCTTTAGCATTACCATAACCAATTTTCGGCATGCGACGTTGTCCTTTGAACCTCCTTCTGACACGATTATCAATACCCTTAAAAAAACATTTTCTAGCTCTCAAAAAAAAAAGAAAAAAATTTAAAAATAATCTTCCCTTATAACTATAAATCAGTAACAGAACAATCTTTTTAATAGTAAATTCCTCACATATCAACAGAGTGTATATATATTGGATAAGTCAAACTAGGGCTTTCGATTCAAGGCACCCTGTTGACTCTCATCAATTCTCAGAATATAATTATTATTCGTTTTTTAACTTCTGGGTAAAATTTAATGGAGCGTAACAATGATTAGCAACCTCTGAATAAATTCATCAAAAAAGGAAAAGCCCAGCCTTTTCTTCTTCATCACCTTTCTGCCTAATCCCATGAAATATGGCAAATTTTAGCCTTATCAGGGAGAGAATTAAATCAATGAATACTTAGCTGTTGCACATAATCTACCACTAATCTTGCAAAAAGATAAACAGCAGTTTTTTTTTTCTCGTGAGAAAACTGCCATGGTAAAAGCAAACCTTTGGTTTTCGCCAGTTTGGACGCAAACGGTGGTAACGATCGGATTCGTGTCTCGTGAACCGACGCCTGTGTTTCTTTACAATTTTTACCCTTTTTCCATCTACCAAAACCATTGTTGAAAGAAAAAAAGCCTTAAAGAGAAATACAGTTTCATTGATATCAATGTTTATGCCCTCAATTCTTCATCATTACCATAGAAACACCAGAAACGTTCATTCTTACATCAAATAATTACTCAAAAACAGCAAAAAATTTCCACTTCATATGTTTAGAGATCTTCAAACAGTAAATACACAAAATAAAGCGCGAATGTCAAAAATTAACAACATTAAATACTTGATATGCTTGAACCACGTGCATACAGAGCCTAATAAGTCAAATCAAAAATGCCAATGTTCCAGTATCCACTAAAAATGCTAATCAGAATGAAATTCCCGTAAGGCAAGAAATTTTCAACATTTCAATTTTTGAATTACCCACTGCGAATTCATTGTCACCATCAGTGTACCATTTCCCCACCTATCCACCAAATTAATCTAATTTAGGAATGTCGAAGCACATGTTCCGGAATTAGACGTGGAACACAAACTTGTCATTCCGGAACAGGACAGCTACCTGCCCACAACTACCCGAAAGTGTACCAGGTTAACCCGACTCGCCACCCAAAACCAACCAATCATTCTCCATCGTAACCAATCCTACCATTTCCAGAAAATCACTCTCCAACCACCTAATTCTCCTATTTCACCATACACTCTCCATTCAGGAACAATCAATATTTCACAGAAGGACGGTCTACAAATATAGGAACATTTTGCAACTGATGCATCCCATACGAAGTTGATTAGCTGAAATTGTAATTATTGAGAGATATACGGCAAGTTAAAGTTATATTTCTTGAAATGGGTAAGATTAGACGTGGGATGAGTTAATTTATAATCATTATTCATCAGTGGGGTTTATTAGAGGCTCAAACTATAAGGAAATAAAATACAGTCGGAGAGTTAATATTTCATTCGTTTACTGCTTGAAAGTGAAAGTTACACAAGCAAAATTTGAAATTCTAAGTGACATATGACAGATTCAAGATTTAGCTTGAAGAGGATTTATGGACAGAAATAAATTGAATATATTAGCCAAATGTAAAGAAAAAGCTAGCTATGGTTAGGACAAAACGGAAAAATCTCGCAAGCAATGAGTAATACATTTTGTCATTCTTAGTAAAGTCTTTAAAATTTAAACAATAAATTTTGAATCATATTTGTATGGTTGGAATCAGAGGAATGAGATGTATTTGTATTTTTTTTTTTTGGAAATTCGATGCACACATATAATGGTAAATTATTAAACTTGGATAACAGTGATAAGTGGAATATTTTGATAAGAAAGAATAAAAATAAGCTTTACTAATCAAAGCTAAATATATCATTGCTGAGAAAAAAAAAAACTCCAACTAATCAGCAAAATTATTAGCCATTGATTAAGAATTAAAATTTAATCAATTTAATTGTTAATCAATGAATAGCAATTAATTTTTCCATTATTTCATTCCTTTTTTTCATCAATATTTCGGGAAAAAAATTAAATTTTGTTTAAAAAAACAAATAAAAGAATTAGTGCAAAATCACAAATGTTGTGAAACGATAAGAATTGAAATAATTTCTTTTCTTTTTCTTTTTTTCAAATATACACTTTGTCATTTTTTTTTTTTTCTGTTAACCATCATTGTTAAAGGACAATTTTAGAAATTTTCACAACCAATTGTAATGGTCATTTCACAGAAATTTTCACAAGGACAAGCATGATTTCGACGAGGACAAACAACGATATATGACATTTCTTTCAGTATCAATCAACTGATCAATTAATCAGTCTGTCAATAACTTTTCATCGATTGCTCTTAATAATTCTCTGAAACTTTAACTTTCTTTTCAACAATTTCATTTTTATTTACATAAATGGTCCTGGTCAGATGGTCAAATCATGTCAGTACAGCTCGATCACTGATTAAACTGATCAGTGATAAATTTACTTAGCTGAATAACTTCAATGCATTGATTTATCATAATATCACTCTTCGAATGAATAAGTTATAAGTTAACACTAAAATTTGTTGATTTTCAAGCATATCACTCTCTAATCATTGAATTTATTTTTCTAATTTCTGTTATCATTCTATTGATTAATGATAGTATAAAATTTCGAATTAATTATTTTATTTTGTTTTCTTGAATTTATAGCAAATATATCAGTGATCATTCATTTGTTATTGAATTTCTTCGCTTCACACTAACACTAATTTAATTTTTTCAATCAATTGTGAATTAAATTGCAACGAATATTTCTCATTGAAGTAATATTATATTGTTTTCAAGTTAAATTCGATTAAATTCATTTGTGTTTTCTCATTGATTAATAGTTTCATTGAAAAGAAAAGGAGAAAAATACTTTTAAAAATGGTAAATTCTGATTTTTTCAACTTTTTTTTCTATTCTTTTTTTTTCTAAATTTTATTTTTGTCAGACATAAAAAGATAATTTGAGAAGGAAAGCGAGTTTCTTCTTTTTTTGTTATCTTTTCTTTTTTTTTTTTTTTTTGAAAATTTTCTCTTCGATGCCGAATTTTTGTTATTTTCATTTTGCAATGAATAATAGAAAAGAAAATACCTTTTTTTTTTGTTATTAAATGAATCTTTTTGAAAAAAAATAAATAATTTTAAAATATTGATTTGTTCTTTTTTTTTTGTTAAATCAATGATATCATTTTATTATTGTACATTTGATCTTTATTTAATTTATTTTTCTAAAGTGAAACTTTCATAATAATTTTAATACTATTGAACTGAATTTTTTTTTTTAAATTTACATTGATTTTATTTTTATCATATTTATATTAATAATAACGCAATATTATTTTAAATCATATAATTGTAATATTTTAAATCAATTAAATATTATCAAGTTATAATGATAATATTACAAAAATAAAAACTTATATATAAATCAGTTGCAAAATAATTATCACAAACAATTGAACATTTGTAGTTTGATTAATTGAAATCATTGAAAAATTTTTCTTTATTCAAACACTTTAAACTTTTTTTTTAAAATTTTTCCGATGCATGAAAAAACGACAAGAAAAAGAGAAATTTTTTAAATTTCTCATTATGATCATTTATCGATTATATAATGTTATAGCTAATATTTACAAATTTTGAAGAGATCTTAAAATATTAATAACAAATTTTGGAAATGAAATAAATGATAAAAATTAAATTTAAAATGAAAAAATTTTCGAACTTCATTTGCATATTGAAAAAAAAATCGCTGCAATAATAGTTTTTAGTGAAATTATAATTGAAAAATTTATTATTGAAATCAATTAATATTCGTATCTTTAATAAATTATTAATGACAACAATGTCAATAGTTCCATCACATTTCATTTCAAATAATTCTTTTTTTTTTTTCATTTTTTGTAATCCAGTTTTTTTTTTTTTTCAAAATCTCTGCTCCATTTTTTTTTTTATATTTTTTTAAACGATTGTCATCAAATTTGCCATCAAATGAAATTTCTGTTCAATGCGAAGAATTTTTTTTTTTTTTCAAATATATTTCATATTTTTAATGATTTGTGATGAAAAATAAAATGAATGGATATAATTAGTTGATGAAATTGAAATTATTTTCAAAAATAACAAAAATGTTTGATGTATTGGAATATTTATTTGTTAATTGTTTACGTGAAGTGTAATTTAGAAAGCGTTTTAACGTGTAACAAAACTTTTAATCGTTTAAATTAAAACAAAATATTCTGAAACTTCTCATTAATAATAATAAAAATGTTCAAAAATATTTTAAATAAAGTTCGAATGAATTCAATTTAATTTTTTCAATCAATATTTGATATTAAAATAATGATGATATGCGTGAATCTCTTATTTTGACAACAATCAAATCCTTAATGTTAACAATGTTAATGATACATGTTATTTAACTGAGATAACAAACCTTATAATGACATGTGATCTATTATTACTACTGATGCAACTTATTATAGCACATTTTAACATTATGTATCAATACTTTTCTAAACAGCATATTAGCATAACCAATTTTCATTTGTTGAATCTGACACGTTCTAGCTCTATTTTAATCTTCCTTATAACTATAAATCAGTAACAGAACAATCTTTTTAATGTAAATTCCTCACATATCAACATATATATTGGATAAGTCAAACGCTTTCGATTCTGTTGTCAATTCTCAGAATATAATTATTATTCTTTTAACTTCGTAAAATTTAATTAACAATGATTAAATAAATTCATCAAAAGGAAAAAATCACCTTTCTCTAATATGAAATATGGCAAATTTTTTATCTTAAATCAATGAATACTTAACATAATCTACCACTAATCTTAAAAATAAACAGCAGTTTTTTTTTCTCGTGAGAAAACTGCCATGGTAAAAGCAAACCTTTTTTTCAGTTTCAAATAACGATCGGATGAACCGATACAATTTTAATCTCAGTTAAAGAGAAATAAGTTTCATTGATATCAATGTTTATTCAATTCTTCATCATTACCATTTCATTCTTACATCAAATAATTACTGCATATGTTTAGATCTTCAAACTAAATATAAAGCGCGAATGTCAAAAATTAACAACATTAAATAGATATGCTTGAACACGTGATACAGAGCTAATAAAAATCAAAAATGAAATGTTCCAGTATCCACTAAAAATGCTAATCAGAATGAAATTTAATTTTCAAATTTCAATTTTTGAATTTGCGAATTCATTGATCAGTGAATCTAATTTAGGAATGTCGAAACATGTTCGAATTAACTACTTGTCATTACTGCTACGAAAGTTTAAATAATCATTCTCCATCGTAACCAATCCTCATTTCCAGATTGAACAATCAATATTTGTCTACAAATATAGGAAATTTTGCAACTGATGCATATACTAGCTGAAATTGTAATTATTGATATGTTAAAAATATTTCTAAATGAGTAATTTATAATCATTATTCATCATTAAGGCTCAAACTATAAGGAAATAAAATACATCTTCATTCGTTTACTGCTTGAAAGTGAAAGTTACA